TATTCTGTTGGAATGTTGTAAAGCGCATGTAGAGAGCTCCTTAATTTACTTTGTAATTCAATTAAAATAGCGTGTAATGTGAGAGCGTGAGAGGCGCGTTGGCCTCATGGTTAGTGCCGGCTCGTCTCCTGATCGAGCGGTCTGAGTTCATGCCCTGGCCGGGGATATTGTTTTGTGTTCTTGGGCAAGACACTTCACTTTCGCAGTGCCTCTCTTCACCCAGATGCATAATGGGTACCGGTGAACTTAATGCTGGGGGGTAAATCTGCGATGGACTAGAATCCCATCCAGAGGGGGAGGAGAAATACTCCAAGTCGCCTCATTCCTATCTCATTACTAGAATTCCTAAGAGGAACCTCTGGGGGTCAAAAAAAACAAAAACAAAAACAAAAACAAAAAACAAAAACAAAGCCAAACAAACGAACAATACTAAAACGGCCATGCTTGTTGCGCTTTAAACAGCACGGTGGCCACCGCGTCTTGATAGCGAAGGATTTCTTGTTCTCTTGGAATTCTGCGAAACGTACCTCCCCAAGCCAAGTTCTGGAACTGATCTCTAGTTCTACGGAAAATGCGAATTTCTGTCGGCTGTTAGAGGAACTCGTACATGCAAAGCTACAGTTCTGAACCACGATAAACTATTTAGTGAGGCTAGCGTTCTGCCATTTGTTAAAAGTTTCGTCACATCAGTAAGCCACGCATAAAACAAATAGAATCCATGTTGCCGTGTGTCTGTCCGGTAACAAATCACAGAAGAGGTCAAAATGTGGTAAGAGCCTACCTCATTTGACGTCATCTGTGATCAGTTACTGAACAGACGCACGCAACATGGAATCTATTTGTTAAGTAGATGCATGGGGGAGGTAGGTGGGGGTGGAGGACGCAAAGAGCCCTCAATGAGCAGTGTTAAGTAAGCTTCGCAAAAAATAATTCATTCTAAAACAACGTATCATACGAGAAGAATGAGGAACCTTGCCATGACTGTTGATGTTTTGAAGTAAATTATTACAAGCAAATTACAGATTTGGAATTAGGGAGAGCTTAAATGGACTGGATGTCCCGCGGGGCGTAACAACTAATCCATGCTACAGAAGCTGGAGTTAAGTCGAGAGCATTGAATTCCACCGCAGTGAAAATGCTAGTTTATATTGTAAGGTGCAAACAAACTTAATATACAAAGAGAATTGGACTTGAACAATTTTCCCCATACCGTTTTTATTATTATCATTATCATTATCTTTAACATTATCATTATCATTATCATTATCATTATCATTATCATTATCATTATCATTATCATTATCATTAT